TGATCAAACTTATACACATTAAGGAAAATTACGTGGTCAACGGCGACCACTGTACAGACTGTCAAGCTTGACCAAGTTTTCTGACAGGAAACATTCTTACGATCAAGGTTTTTTTAGAGAAACTGGGAACTCATTTCTTCTCACGCTCATCCAAGTTTACTTTTTTTAACGATGAAATTGCACATGAAAACACTGGCAGATGAGAAAAGCCATGACTATTTGATAAGAAGGAGGTAAATTCATGTTAAGGAAGGGCTCATTTTGGAAATAAACATAAACGCGGGAAGCAGAAACAATAGCAATTTTCTTTGGCATTCATCGTTAACCAAATGAAAAATCTTTTTACTGAGGAGGTCTGTAAATGAACCTGGACAGTGCCACCCATCAACGAGATAGTTTTTTATTTCATTATGCATTATTTTAAGTGTAGGGAGCCTTATGTACTTATCGCAGTTGCAATGGTCAAATAATAAGGTTTATTTATGTGAATGACAGACTTTGACTTCAGGTGATTCTGTCTATAAACATAAACACTATTGTTTTACGGATAGAGAGTATATCTGCCATACTGTGCAACGGTTTAAAATAATCTAGTCGTTAGGTAAAACAACAGAAGACTCGCAGCGGGACATAGTATATAGTGTGTCTGTGAGACTTGCATTACTTTCTGAACTGGTTAAAGGCAAGTTGGACATGTTTATAGACCAGTAACAGACGCGAAGAGAAGACATTTAATCACTAGGATATATATAAAGTTGATGAAATGAAGTAGTGTCCAATTCTGCTACAGAGGGAAAACTTTATACTCCAAGGAGTATTAGATAATAAGGAGGATTGATCACTGAAGACCAACCCCGATATTGCATCGAAAAGGATTAGCGGATACAAAATCACGCTTGAATGCCCTCTGACGCCTTCAATATTTGGTAATAAGGAGGAAAGCTCCTTCTTCTCGAACGTTTACTGGACAAAACGAATTACGTTGCTAGACGAAAATGTACACACTCTAAGACCTCTATCACACCGACCGTTGTTAGAATTTTCTGTGCTCATTCTCATAATGTGCCTCAAACAAAACCTGCAACGTAATCAAAAGATTTTCTGCACCAGCAATCTATAAAGAGCTGGTTTCCCTAGGTTATACGATGTCACAGATAGTTTTTATAGCCACCATATGTTGTTGCCTCAGCTCGTTAGGTGTTCACCAATCCGATCAGAAGAAGCATGCAAACATTCGCTTTTGTGAGGTCCAGTTAGTGAGAAAAGCAAAAACTCAGCATCAGCCCTCCATGCATCGTAGCTACTGTATGCACAGCAAAGAAAACGGTAATCATGCAACGGAACACAACGGATGACAGGAAAGACTGGTTAAAAATTTTATACAAAGGAGTCTGCAAGACTTACCTCTTTTTTGACAACATAACTTGTATCATCGCTGTCAATCGACTTAACTAAGTCCATGATGCGTTGGTTGATTCTGTTGCATTCCTCTAAAGGCAACAAATAGGAGAGTATGTCATAATTAGTATGATATGGTGGGGCACCTGTTCACGCTACAAGCTGTTCAGTCGGGAAAAAACACATACACGACAGGAACTGTAAGTTGCACATGATCTGGTCGATGCTGTTTGTTCACATATTATTTGCTAAATTGAACAAAGGATTCGTAAGCGAAATGCCAGTCTTCTATCACGTGAATACTAGTCGCTGGTAGAGCGCAAGAGCAAATGATTAAAACACACGTTGTTTATACAACCCGTAATTGAGACAGTTGGGATCGGACAGAGAAAACTGACGGATCGAATGAGTACAATTGCATTACAAGTAGAACGATAGGTGCCTCACTGCACACAATGCCTTTTCTCTAATAATGCACAGACTCCAGTACATCCTAATGAATTATATCCATATTATAAGTTGGTGGGCTTTGCCTCAAAGATGTCGTTGTTCTTGATAACATAAGTCGACGTAGAATTTAGTAACTGTATTGTAGAATATCCTAAAAATGCCGTCAATTGGCTTACGGGTACGTTTGTATTTCTATGAATCAACATCTTGTATTGTCATCGGCTGGTTTTTTAATGGCGTCGTTACAGGATTCTCCTGCTTCACTCCATGAATATCAAGCAGGCTGGTCCAGCCGTTCGAAAAGTCAGCAAACCAAAAAAATTATTCCGACGAGCAAAACATGATTTATAATGAACTCTTTTGACTGTAGGGTGATCTGAGAGAATTAAATACCACCTCCCGGCTTGGCAAGCAAAATCTATTTGGGGACCCTATTGGGTTTCGTACCAGCAGGCCTGTTGGAAACAGGTTATCTGGTCGCGTCATTTAAAGGCATTCGTATACCAAGATCAGTGCTATATGAAATGCTACTGCTACACTGTGTCCTGACCATGGCAGGGACAAAAGTCATACACATAGGTCGAGGAGGCGTATTTGCACATAATACTCAACGTAGATTTAGTGGTGACCTTGGCTCAACGTTCGCATAATTCAGACCTCGTTCTTTAGTCCTTATTCTACGCCATAGAATTTGCAACTAAGAGTGATCCTTTCAGTTACTGTAGCCGCCCGCTTCCTCGAAAATAGCACGCTTGGCTATCCTGCCACCTATGGTATCGTACTATTATCATAAACTGCATGTGAAGCTTAGCCTGAACAATTACATATTCAGAAGAAGAAGATGCAATCACTGAAACAAGAGTTTTATTTTCCTGACGTTTCGGATTCTGTCGGGAATTGTTCATCATAGGTAACTGTAGGATAATCTGAGCCATGCGCACATAGGGGTGAAACATGCAAAGATTGCACGGTATTTATAGTTCAATCTGTGCATGTTTCACCCGTATCTGCGCATGGCTCAGACTATCCTACCATTAACTATGATTAAGGATTCTGGGCAAAACCTGAAACGTCAGGAAAATAAAACTCAGCAACAGTAGTTTAAGTAGTGCACCTCATATACCCCTAGTCCCAGCATGTGTCCTATGGGAACTGTGGTTATAAGGGTTTTATGGGCGCTTAATAAGGCTAGGCAGTGGAATATACTTTCATAACTGATATATGCATTCTTATTTTATTGTATTCAGAAATGTTGTTGATTTGTATATGTAGATTCTCCTAATCTGTATTATCATTCAACCTATTGCGGAAAAACCCGATTATCCAAATGCAGGTTTCTCGAACTTTCTGAAAAAAATAGAAATGGAAGTCAAGGGGTCGTCTACTTAAACTTACCCGAGGTCCAGCTTACCGTTCTGGAGTTAGATTAGTATAGTCCGCGGTGCTAAGCGCCGCCCACACCCTCAATTAACATGTGGAATAACTTACTCCCAGCGGCCGCGGGAAACAACTTCAACTATATTTTTCCACTTTCCACTTCTACAAATTTCCTTCACTGACTATCCTATTTTCCCACCCTAAAACCCCTATGACCACCATATCCGTAGGACAAAATATTGGGACCAGGGGTATATGAGGTGTACTACTTAAACTACCTTTGCCTAAAACTCTTGTTCCAGTGATCGGATCTTTTTCTTCTGAACTGCTTCCTGGAACTTGCATAGTCACTTCTATTGACGGTTACCTATCCAATAAAAATTTTAGGCGTTTGTGCAGCTGCACGGAAGTGATGATAGCATGCTGAAAACAGTCCTTGGCTTATGTTTCTTCTACAAAGTCTTTATTTTGTTGCTGTAACTCGAAAATTAAAATACTCTTTACGTCTTATAAATGCAGATTAGGTGGAATTAAATTTCGCCGAGTTTTAGATTACCAAGATTCGATTTTTTTAATGAACAGAAATATTTCATCGAAAGAATACGCTTGTTTGATAGCTGACGTAATGTCGCAACTAGATGACATTTGCGCATATATAAAATGCGTCATTGCAAATGTATTAATCACCAATCCTGGAGGAGGGATACATGTAATTGGTTTGACCGGAGCTGAATTCCGAATATTTTGAACCTAATCCGGTTAAGCGAAGACAACTGTAGGTAGAAAAGTGAAAGCATACTTTTGCGCATTTTCCCAAAGGAATGGTATTTGAACTTTTTAGAAAGTTTTGACGAAATGGGAATCATTCGGCCGACAAAAAGTCTCTTTTTAGTAGCTTTTGAAAATCCTGGATTCTATTTTTTAAATTATGTCCTTCAGGACAATGTAGGCGCATTTCTACAATCCTAGCAAAAGAACAATTTAACCGAGGATGGCTGTTTCGTCATTTGGAAAACAGCGAAAACAAGAGTTTGACCAGGAGTTCCCTACAAAGGAAGTGTGCTGAAACCCGAACACCAATCTCTCTACAAGTTGTTTGTCTGACATCCTCAGACATAAGCAACGGTAACCATCGTAACACTGAGTGTTCGATTAAAGGAAACTGAGTCCTCAGACACTGATAAATGCTGACGAAATATAGAGAATGTAAAGAAAATGTGGTTTATAGCAGGTAAATATTGTTCTCAAAATTCCTACTGTCAGCTATTTTAGTCAGATCAAAGCAATCACACAAGAGAGTAGGATTTCTCGTCATTTTCGTAAAAACAGTTATTTTTATCTTTGATTTCAGATAGAAAACTCGCTTTTTCTGCTGCCGCTGCTGTTGTTAGGTATAGCTTTTGTTCTGAATACCTTTCCAGTCTCATTACGTATTAGTAGCTTAATCGGCATCCCGTTTAATTAATTAAAACTCCGCTCTCCTTTAATTAAAATAAATAGCTAGACAACCCCGAGCGAGTGATTTCGTATAAAAATGTTTTATATGCAAAGACAACCTGTTTTTGGCACCAAGGGACCAATATTGCAATGGAAACATTTTCTAGTGACTTTTCAACCCAAGTTCGCAGTCAAACAAATGACAGTTGTATATGCATATGGTGCAAGGTTGTGGAGAAGATCATCAAAAAGGCCATACGACCTTTGTATGAAGCTCGTATATGAAGAAATTGCTTTATACGATGCATGCTTAGACAAGATCACTCGACAATGTGCGCATGGCCTACATTGATTTCCGGAAGGTCTTCGACAGTCTTCGGCACTAGCGTCTCCTGCACAAGTTGAGACTGATGGGCATTGGAGACGAAGTTCTAACGTGGATCGAGAATTTTCTCGGTGTTCGTTCCCAGGTTGTCTTTGTAAAATGGCGACGACCAAGAAGCACAGTCACAAAGAGTGGAGTCCAATAAGGATCAGTGCTTGGACCAACCTTCTTTCTCTTATACGTTAATGATTCTGTACAGCAATTGGACTGTGAGTGTGCCATGTTGGCGGATGATACCGAAGCATGGACAGTCATTAAGAATGCTGCCGATTAAGCCGACTTCCAGGAAAATCTTCGGCAATTAAACGAGTGGGCCCGCAGATGGCTCCTGTCCTTTACCTCGAACAAATGTATTCTGCTGCGCCTGTGAAATCGAAATATGGTCGCTGATACACGAACCCACCACCTGAACGGACTGCCGCTCCGAGAAGCAGAAATAAGAAAAGTCTTGGCATTTGGAGAACAGACAACCTAAAGCCTTCTAGACAATGTTGTTCTACGCCATCAAGCGGGCATTTACCGTTTTAGATGAAGATTACTTTTTCAACTCTCTGGTACATTTATAAGGGTACATCTTGAATTCGCAATCGCAGCCTGGAGACAGTGGACGCAGCAAGAGTATAACCTTCTCAAAAGGTTGCAGTGACAGGCCACACAACTAGTAAGCAGCTCAGGAGCACTGTTATGTGAGATCCGCCTACGTAACGTTATTTTTTATCCTCTGATTTATAGGCAGTTACGCGGAGACTTACTACAAACTTTCGTGTATGGCTTGAACTGTGCCCTCCTATGTGATGACCTATTTACTCGCCACTATAACATATCACCGGGGACAGCCCTTCAAAGTACATGTGACCCAAGGAAGTTTGGCTGCGAGGAAATATTTTTCCTCTAACCGGATAGTAGCAATGTGGAATAACTGACGCCAGGCGGTTGTAATGTCCAACTTTGTGGAGACATTCAAACACCGACTTGGTATCCATATGTTGCAGCATGACGCGGAGTATGTGACTTATTACCTTTAAAACACCAGTAAACAATGTGAAACTGTCTACATTTACCTGACAGTAATTTGCTTACCTTTGTGTCTAATTATTGAGATTTTTATGTGATAAATAGAGATTTCATATGCATAAGCCTATTTTCTTCAAGCACACTGACTGACATTCACTGGTACATACGATGCCATATATAAGAGGAAATTAGAATATAGTTTAGGCAAGATACGCTTTTTCTATGAAGGTGGTTTGCATGACGTTCATTGGCGTTTGTACATGCTCGGTGTTTCCTGCTTCATCAGTTGGCTATCATCTTAGCTTTAACTTTAAACATTCTGCACAGGTAAGCGTTGTACGTACCTGTACCCCGTACTCCGGAGCATTTCTACTGAAAAACATTGCCAAACGCTCTCCCGTTTTATGAGGTTTTGCATGGGTCATCATAGCCTGTCGCATAAAATATTCAACCTGTCTAACTTATGAACCATAAACTCGTGAGCGCAGAAACGGCACGGGGTAGACAACCATATGCAGTAAACCAATCCAAAGCTGGCACTTGTACAGATATCGCCACATCTCAACTCGAGGCATAATAATGCGGATACTGCACCGGATTAACCAGGATCTGATCCTATGGAGCTTGGAAGTGTCCAGGAAATGCCAGGTATCAAACCTGTGTATCCAAGAAAATACTTTTTCTTCCAAATACCTTAGGTTGTTTACATGGAAGTACCCGCCTTCGGCGCAAGGGGCACAAGGCGATATAAATTATTAACACTACTGACAGACGTGCACTACATATCTTGACCAGCGGGCTATCTGGCGATATTTTATGCGACGGGTGGTTTGATCAAGTTTGCGCACAAGGTTCTGACAGGGAGGGTGCTGCCTCAACTGTGATCTAACAAAAGCCTTATCTTGTTTTGGCACACGCTTTTGCGAATCAGTTGCATGTCACTGCCATTATAAGAAGTAAACTGCATTTCATTCTAATGAAATAGTTTGTTACTCGGAGAAAATGCATTATGCCGGAATGCACTAGTGCATTTTTATTTGCATTTTTGCATTTGACAGGCTAGTAAGAATCCCTGAAACGTGTGCTATGTTATCTACAGCATACTTTTACAATCATAATGAGCAGGCAATATACGAGGGAAAGGGGTTTTGGGGAGCTTTTAGTTTAGTAGTTGGCGTCCGAAAGTTTGACATCTGTTAGTCAGGTGCATTTGCAAAAAACCTGCTATGTTGGGCTAGTAGATAGTCAGAACGATGGTGAGCTTAGTGTTTAGGGGAACATTTAAATTGCGATATTTCTAGGAGCATGTTGGCAGAGATTAAAATGACTGATTTCGGATTACAGCTGATTAACCCGTTCCGACTGCGTATGGTTTGAGCCAAATTAAGATTTTGTAAGGCTATCTCACTGTAAAATGCTCCGCCCAAATCCTACTCGTTCACATAAATACAGTCAAAGTTTTGGTTATGATTCCAATGAAAATTTTGCATACGAACGTCAACAAAACATTCTTATGGTTCGTTTTACATTTACCGGCATTGCCACTTTGACAGTATTGGGTGTCGCGTATATTCTAAAGCTATTAAGCTCAATCCACTGAGCGCTATCATGTAAGTGTCATTAATTATTGGTGAGAAAATCGCAGGTACTCAGTTCATGAAGAAAATGCTTGTAATAGCAATCCCGACATATACCATTAACTACGGCTGTACTTTTTCCACTGGGGTCTTTTATACGTAGTGTCAATTTCTACCAAAAATACCTAACACATCGATTCACTAAACATACAACCCGTAATATAATTGTAGGATTGTTTGTTCGTAGGAGAGCTAGCATTTAAGAGCAGATGACTGCACTTTTAGGTTATTAAGATTTTTTACAATTTATTAGCCACTGATCGATTTTCATTGGTTAGCGGCTTATTGGCTTGTGCTAGCACTTAGTAGTAATAAACTCTTCTGTACGGCTAACTATATGGTATCTCAACTGAATCCTTCCAAAAGCGTATTTGTACTGCGCTTACCAGCGAGTTGTTTGACCTCCTCGCTGGTCACTTCTTCTGAAGTCCAGGAGCTTTCGGCACAGCCTTCGGCAACTTGACAGGATTCCAGGGTCTCGACGCTCTCTGCGGAGTCCTTCCTATCTTCATCTTCCGTTTCACTAGATTCTTCAGGTTGTGGAGGAGGTTTGCACTCCTGCAGTTCTCCAGAATTCTCACGCGAATGGAGGACCTCACTCACACTGCTGCGTTCAGAAGGACAGCAGCTTCCAGCCCGACTTCCTCGGTCGAACGGATGAACATTGTCTTCCAGCGCCTTCAGTGTATTATACCACCTTTAAATATAAAAAAGAGGAAGAAAATAAAAAAAAGATAATCGAATGCCAGGGGAAACCTTTAGGGGGTTCAAATTCCAGTCATTTACTGCGCAAATAGGAAGTTAAAATAAACTTAATGGTTTTGCTTTCATAACTTGTTTTTTGTGCCGTACAGTTTCATTTCGACGTGAGAGTCCGAATTTGGGAGGAATATATATGGCAGTGCTGTTGAACGTCACGACCTCTCAAGTATTTCATTGAAGCATGATGTATGGAGCCAATTTTACAGATAAAACAGAAATATGGTAAAAAGAAGAAGAAGAAGAAGAAGATGATGATGATGATGATGATGATGATGATGATGATGATGATGATGATGGTGCCATAGCTGGGAGGAGACTTTCATTCGCCTGACGTTGTAACGTCCGTCTCGGATGTTTCAGCACAGACATTAGTATAACCAGTAGCAGAAACGTTTCTAACGCAGATTGCGTCTATTATTTTCTACGACGTTAATTTCAGTACTTTCTGGCGTTGGCTTGCAACTGGTGACATTGCTTCATCTTCATGTAGTCCCAAGAATTACACTGTTGACTTTGAAAATCGCATTACATCATGTACTTATGAACGAAAGCATAGTTTGCCTAGAGACACCCTCAACTTGAAATAGGTACTGCCAAAAACTTAGGAGCGCAAAATACATGAAAAATTAAGGAATATGCTTCAAGTAGGGCATATGAGACATACCGTTCCCGCAGATCTTTCTTCGTAAAATAAATTCGTAGGAGAACCGCGAGTTTCTTAAAAATCATGTTCAACATGTATTCACCACCTGCAATGTTGAAAGTTCTCTGTTATTTCTCAGCTTGGAAATATGAGTTAAACAATAATTCCAGTCTTTAACCTGTAGTCTTAAAAAAGGACTTTCTGATGTCGATATATGCAAGTATCTCCAAAACAATGTTGGCATGGGCAACGGTAAACAAGTAACTACACAATTCTAGGCAATGTTTTCGCTAAATTGTAAATTTTAATGTGTTAACTTTGCCAAGGTTAAAAATACTTCCATTACTCTCTGCGGTTTCCTGATCGCCCTGTATTCTTAATTAAACGCATACTGGCTAATATTTGAATGCAGTCATAAAAAGAATGTATTCGGTAATGATTTAGCGTGCGATATACAGCAAATACTTCTCTTGTAACAACAGGGAGGTAATGGAGCTGCAGATTAGCGAACGTCAATTAACTTTCTTCAGGGTCTGTTTTTTTTCTGCAACGGGCTTTATGTTCCGGTCAAGAGAAAAGTAGCGCATGTATATAC